TAAGTCCTCATCTGAAACAAAACGCCATGTTTGACAGTAACAATGGAATGACGTTTCGAAAAATGATAATTTTATCTCATTCCATATCAAATGTAGTAATTAAATATTCCAGAAGCCATACACTAACTTAGGTATACAATTAGTTCAAAAACTTCAATTTTAGTATAATTTTACTTACCGTGTGAAATAAATGGATACAACACACAAAATCACTTTCTGTCACTGTCGGCCATATTATAGAAAATATTTCAACCAACTTTTACGTGGTGTTCGGTGGCGTTAATAGTCACTTCCTGAACAGACTGGGCGGCAGATTTAAATGCGAGTTTTTAAATAATTAACTATGTCCCCACTAACCCCATGTCCACACTAACCCCCCTCTTCCCTATAGACACATAAATAAAAGCCAAACTGATTATTGGATATTTCGATTTCTTCACGTGTCCGTCTGTCAATGACTATCTTCCATATTTTCAGAATGTGACTAAATAGTTTTATGGGCCTGTAATTTGTACATTGTTGTACACCTCCCTTGTTATTGTGGATAGATACTAATACACTGCCTCTCCAGTCGTCTGGTATTTGCCCAACTTCCATAATTCTATTAGATAGACCTGTTAACCAATGTGTCTCTGTCTGACAGAACACTCAGTAACACATTCTAATAATAATCCTTCACAGTTTAATTTATCAGAAATAATATCAATCAACTTAAAAAATGGAAATAACACATCTACCAGCAACAAAAAACTACTTAACAATCAGAATTAATTTTACGAACATATTAACATTATAATAAACATACAAACAACAGTAATACACAAAGGAGCAACTAGAATTCACTTTACAACAATTTAAAAATTATTATAAATATTCAAAACATTACTTAATCTTACTCAATTGGGTATATGCTGTTCAATTTTTTCACATGCGAAAAAACATGTCTATTTTTCACCTTATTATTAACTATCCTTCTACCACAATTTTACAATCATTACCTTAGTCCAACCCTTGATAACCGTTCCAGTTCAATTTCCCCTTCTCTAGAAATACAGACAGGTTTAAAGCCTGTTAACTATTGCTTCATACCAGACGTACCCCTCTTGACTGTTCCCTATCGTTGAAAACAGTCGCTCCTCTCTTGTCTGTTTCCTTTCGAGAGGAACAGTCGCTCTCTCTTGCCTGTTACCTATCGCTTGGTACAGACGTAACTCTCTTGCCTGTTCCCTATCGTTGAGGACAGTCGCACCCTCTTACCTCTTAGCTATTGCTGACGACAGACGCTCTCTTTTCCCTGTTGACTAGGAACAGAGGTATCCTCTCTACTGTTGACTGCCGCCAACAACAGACATTCTCTCTCTCTCACACACACATTTTCACTGTTTCCAGTGTTCATTTTTTATTCTTCCTACCAACTAATTTGTTTCAATTCATATTTTCTATAGGTGTCTCGGGATTCTGGAGTATTTGATGTTTTGTACTTCGTGTAGGCCTGCCTCTCGTTTCTTTTTACATTTCTCTTTCATTTCTTTTCTGAACAATGGTGTATTGTTGTTGTTTCCTTTGTTCAGTATGATTTTGCGTTTTCCTAGAGCTTCTGTTGCTGCTTCTTCAATGTTGTTTTTAATTTCGTCCCAGCTCACATTTATATCTTCGATGTCGTCTATTTGTTTCAGCTGTATCTTCTGCACTAGCATCCTTTGGTACATGTCTCTTGTAGAGTCGTTCCACAGAGATTCTACATTGAATTTTTCCTCTTTGATTTCCTGTAGAAAACGTAATTGGTGTTATTTTCATTCTTATTTTTGCTAGTACTAGTTTGTGTTCGCTCCCTTCGTCTGCTGAGTTTAAAGTTCGGATATCTAGAATCTGCTTTGGGTAGATTTTTCTAATCTATCTATCTAATTAGCCTTCTTCGATCCATCTTTGGACATAGGCCTCCCCAATCCTCTTCCATTCTTCTCTGTCTGTCGCAACAGTCATCCATCTAGAGCCCACGTGCTTCTTGATATCATCTGCCCATCTCATTTGGGGCCTTCCTCTGCTTCGTTTATATTCCCACGGTCTCCAACTTATAAGAATTTTGTTCCATCGGTCTTCTTTTTGTCTTATATTGTGTCCGGCAAATCTCCATTTCAATTTTGCAACTTCTTGTCTAACATCCCTCACTTTTGTTTTCTCTCTTATCCACTCGTTTCTCTTCTTATCCATTAGTCTTATGTGCAACATTTGTCTTTCCATTGCTCTTTGGGTTTTTATGATTTTGTCCATGTTTGCTTTTGTAAATGTCCACGTTTGGGAGCCATACGTAAGAACAGGGAGTACGCATTGATTATATACTTTGGTCTTAAGATGCTGTGGATATCTTTTGTTTTTAAGAATGTAGCTTAGTTTGCCAATGCCGCCCATGCCAGTCTAACTCGTCTCTTGATCTCTGCTGTTTGGTTCTCTTTGTTAAGTTTTATAGTTTGACCAAGATATATATAATCCTTAACTTGTTCTATTTCATCTTGTCCGATTCTCATTGTGATGTCTTCATCTGTATTTGTTATAGTTTTGGTCTTGCTGTAATTCATATTAAGGCCTATCTTTCCAGCTTCTACGTCCAGTTCTTTCATCATTTCAAATAATTCATCTTTTTTATCGGTTATCAATACGATGTCATCAGCGTACCTTAGATGGTTCAAGCGTTGTCCACAAATTTTTATACCTTTTTTTTCCCATTCTAATCTTTTAAAAGTATCTTCAAGAGCCTGATTGAAAAGTTTCGGTGATATTGTATCACCCTGTCTCACGCCTCTACTTATTTGTAATGATTTTGTTCCTTCATATACTTTAATTTTTGTTTTGGCTTCCTTATATATATTGGTTATTAGTTCCGTATATCTGTGGTCAATTCGGCTGTTAATCAAAGAACTTTTCACTGCCCAATGTTCGACACTGTCGAAAGCCTTTTCGAAATCTATGAACGCCATATATAGAGGAATGTGGTATTCATTTGCTCGTTCTATAAGTATTTTCATACTTAGTAAATGGTCACTTGTGCTGAATCCCTTTCTAAAACCAGCTTGTTCTTTCGACTGGTATCCATCGAATTTTGTCGTCAATCTATTGGTTAAAATTTTTGTTAGGAGTTTATACATTACATTGAGGAGTGTTATAGGACGGTAGTTTTTTATATCTGCTTTATCCCCTTTCTTGTGTAGGATAATGGTTACTGATTCCTTCCAGTTGTTTGGGATTCTTTTTTCTTTTAATATCCTGTTAAAAAGGGAATGTAGAGTATTAATTACCACTTTTCCACCATATTTCAGCATCTCTGTAGTTACTCCATCTTTTCCAGGCGATTTGTTGTTTTTCATTTCTTTCAATGCCTTCTTTATTTCTGATTTGCTTATTTCGGGCTGCAGCTCTGAGTTGACATTTTTTATTTTGACCTTAAGTTGGTTTTTAATTTCTTCTGGTGGTTCCTTTTTTGTTTTATATAATTCTGAGTAGAAATGGTGGATTATATTTATGATGTCATCTTTAACGTTTGTTTCTATTCCATTTACATCTTTTATTTTGTTTATTTCAAACTTACCTAATTTCGGCCTTAAGCATTTCATATTTTTGTTGTTTTGTATTACTTCTTCTATTTTTATTTCTTGTTCTTTTCTCTTACTTTCTTTTATCATTCTGCTTATTGTTTTATTAATTTCTACATATTCTATAGATTTCCTTTTGCCTTCTTCGTTCAGCTTCCTTCTTTTATCCATAAGCTTCTTTGTTTCTGTTGATATATAGTTGTTCTTTTTTAGATCCTTCTTTGCTATTTCTTTTCCTGATGTAATCATTGTTGCTGTAAGTATGTTGTCTATTTCGTCTATATCTTTATCGTCACTGTCTAATCTTTGGGTAAGTTGTTCTTTTAATAGGTCTTTGTATATCTCTTTATATTGACCTAGTTTGTTTCTATCTACTAGATTCCAGTTTCTACTTATTTTTCTTTTCATCTCATAGTTACCGTCAATACTAATTTTTGCTCTGACCATCCTGTGATCGCTACCTGTTGTGAATCTGTTAAGAACTGTTACATCTTTAATGATATATCGTTCCGTGGACAGTATGTAGTCGATCTCATTTTTTGTGGATCCATTAGGGCTGATCCATGTCCACTTTCGTTGGGGCTTCTTTTTGTAAAAGGAGTTCATTGCGTATAGATGCTTTTCTTCTAGGTAGTTCATCAAAGTATCACCTCTATCATTTCTCTGGCCATACCCGAAATCTCCTATTTTAGTTTCTTCTTTGTTTAGTTTTTTACCCAGTTTGGCATTGAAATCTCCAATTACTAGTGTAAGATGATTTTTATGTTCTTCCATAGCCTTTGATATATCTTCATAAAATAGTTCGATATTTTCTTCATCATAAGCTGTCGTGGGGGCATATACCTGGATAATTTTAATTGATGTTCTTCTTATTTTAAGTATGACATAGGCGACACGATCTGATATACCTTTGATAATTTGGACGTGCTTACTTATTTATTATAAATCCTACTCCAAATTTACTATTCATTTCATTTCCTTTATAATATAGTAGATTACCAGATTTTAGCTGTATACTGCAACTAATAGTCATTATAAAATCAATCATATATTTGTGCCCCCTGAAGTTTTCAAATGTATTTTTATACTGGAGCTTATGTTTGAAAAATGTATTATTGATTCTCATCAGTTCGTTAAAAGCACAGAGATGAGCCATAAGTTCTCCATTTGCGTTAACATAGTTTTCATTAAATCTTTGTTTTACTCCTGGAACTATTTCATTTTCGTGCATTAAAGTCACCCATAAGAAGATTTGTCTGTATCATGTTAACATTTGCCTTTGTAAAAACCCATACTTGTCAACCGTAAGTAATACCTTTAGAGTACACGTTAGTTTAAAAATTTTATTATAAGTATTGTGGGTATTTTTTATTAGATCTATTTTACATTTCATAACATTTTCAATTTTTTCAGATACATTCACAGTTCTAACTGAAGCAGATTATAGAAGTGAGTACCTACTTATTACGATAAACAAATAATTTATTTTCATATCATTTTACTATTATTGCAACTGTATTATACCTATCTCAAATATTTGAAATATTGTACAAAATTTGTTGTATTATATTTTGTTTCTATCATTTTATACTTCTTCAGTATCAGTCTAAAAATAGACTACAATATACTCCCATACAGTAACATAACAGTGAACCGAACTACTATAATGTAGGCTCAGGATACTGATAGTCTAAGATTTTGTGCCTCGAAACATGCGAAAGATATAAAAAAAAACGTACGAAATTATAAATTTTACTTGAAAAAAAAACTACTTATATGAAATAACGGTTTTGGGGATTAGTTTGAACAAAAGTTCAATTCCAAAACGAGGTGAAATAAAGAAAAAATAAATAAATTAAAACGTGGAAGCGTTTTGACCTGTTACGATACATCGAAAAAATAGTTCTAACATATTCTTACTTATTTTGGGATTCGTTTCAGATAGTCTTACCGGTGATAGGCTGATTCAAGGGCCAAAGCGTTCAGGTAGGAATTAAACATTTTACAATTTTCAAAAATATATTTTTTCTTTAAAAATTGATAAATATGTATTTCCTTTATGTAAGGTTTTATTTGAGGCAATAATCATTTCAGCATTTCCAGAGCTAATAGATATTTCTTTGTAATTTGTAGGTATTGGTGAGTATAGATATTTTTTATTTTTTAGGGAAAAATTTGATTTCACTAATTCTCCCCGTTAGAGGGCAAAAGGATAGGTTTGTTGTTAGTGTTAATCGAACACTAGTTATAGTTACATGGGATGGAGTGAGTGACATAGTAACTAATGTTGAAAAAATTATAGAAGTTGACACTGAAACAGAATTGATTAGCAACAGATTTAACGATGGTAAATGCGATCCTTCTGGAAGAATATGGGCAGGTAAGATAATTAGCGATCTATCTTGAATACATTTAAGATTAATTAAAGTTTAAGTTTGTTATATAACATTATATAATCTTAATATTATATACATAGTAATATATACATAACACATATCTCTCAATACCTCCTATAACAAAAAGTTGTAACGATGAGTCCAAGCCATCACCGTTAAACCAGCGTGCGCGCGAACCAACCTATGAAGTAGGAGTGTATCGACAGTAGAAAGGGGCAAAACTTCGCTATATAAACCGCAACATTTCCTCATAGAGGCAGAATCGACAGGTGTTGACTGAAGGTTCTCTTCTTCCCTACCCCGGCTTGTGGACGTGTTGACTTCACAAGTTGTTCCATACCGCCGTTACCCGGAGAGCGTGTTGAGCTCTCCATTACCCGTACTCCGAAGCAGTCGTGTTGAGACTGTCGAGGAGTGTCCTATTAACCGAATCACTTAAGGGACGTGTTGAGTTCCTTTCTTTTCTTTGTACCTATCGTCCGCTGTTATTACAACGTTCACGTAAAATTTCAAAAACACACTCGCTTGCCGATAAGACTAACTTCATACGACAAGGTCAAACTTAATTTGAATAAATAGGCCAGGTACTGAGAAGACTAAACTAAATTGTAAATATGTACATAAGATTTTTGTCAATTTAATTTAAGGAAGACAATAAAGTTTTATTTGTATCTTGAACTCTGTCTCTGACTGTCCAAAAGCTACCCGGATAGTGACTCCTACGAGAGGACGTCACAAAGTATATAAAAAGTTTCTGGCGCTACACATCGGCAATCTACGTGACGCATTGATCTAAAACATCAAGTAAACGAATATGCATATTACCATCTTTAAAATGAAGCAAACAAGAAACGGTTGAGATTCAACAAGAAATGTTTTAGTTATCGCTGATAAATGAATCTCTAGATGCAGAAAATCCACTTCCAAGTAATACTGATACCATGAAAACCTTTGTTGTTTAATAAGACGATAGCTACGAATACCCCGGAAAAAAAATAGGACTGCAGAAAAAGCAGTAAATGTGAAAACAAGTTCTTCTTTTCAGTTGTCCCAGATTTCTCACATGTATTCAAAAGAAACATTAAAATGATTTTGCCTCCCCCTTTAAGTATCAAGCGCCAAAATTCGCTTTTAAAATTTGAATGATATATCATTCAATGCTTTTCATATGGTCAGTCCAAGCCTGACCTGAATGCAATCGAAATTCATTATTTTAGTAAAGCTTTATGTTATATAAATATTTTAGGTACTATAGGAGAAGATCCTACAAACATAAACATTGCAGGTTCTCTATTTTCAATTGAATATGGTCGAGCAGTTCAACATTTAAGACAAATACAAATTTCTAATGGTTTAGCATGGAATGAACAGTTACAAAAAATGTACTATATTGATTCCTTCACAAGATCTGTATATGAGTTTGATTTTGATATTATAAATGGAAGAATTTGTAAGTATTTATTTATCATTATTAATCAGTTTAAAATCAGATAAAATTTTTTGACGGTCCGAGAGAAAAATTGTGATGGAGAATGGTGTGATGGCAGATATAACAGCTGACGTGACGAGGGAGGGTATTACCCCCTTTGCATTAGCAGATGATCTCGTTATGCTGGAAGCGATTCAGGATAGCGATTTCGTTGTAAAGATGAGAGAAAATTAAAAAAGAATAGAACTGTAGAATGTTTAATTCCGTGAGAGAAATAGTGGAGAAAATGATAAGAGATTAGTGGTGGTGAACGGGGATCCAATAATTTATCAAGGAAATGTTCCCTTCAAAAGACGAGAGGTAAGGGAACACGCAACTGAATTCAAAAATGGGCAAGTGTCATCTCGATGAGGTTCGAACTGTCGCAGCCTGAATTAGGCTGAAGAGAGAGAGAGATAGAGAACAAGAGAGAGAGCGGAGAACGACGTGAGAGAGATGATGGTGACCACGCTAAAAAGGAAGGGGGTTGAATTTCTTTGGTGGTTCGTGTGTGGTTTTTTCGATGATTGTGTGGGATGAAAAATGGGAATCTGGTGATAGCAAGGCACCAGGGGAGATATTATGGCTTAACTCAATATCACTCAGCAATCAGCATTAATGTTAAGACCAGTTTCTTCAAAATTAAATTAAAATTCAACCCCATAATAAAAAATAAGGTACTTTGTCTGTCAAATGTAGAAACGATGTTGGCTTTGGAGATTCCACTTCATACTATGATATTTGGAAGCTGATTTATGAAGTAATATCAATATTGACCACTTTTGTTGATCATTTGCCTCGAAGAATTTGCTTTTGCTTTTACTTTATTTTTTGAGCAATTACTACATTTTTATTTATGTGACTCATTGTATTTTTAGACAATGGACAGACCATTTTCAATCTAACGAACCACAACATAGAAGGATTTCCTGATGGTATGACTATAGATGTTGATGGTAACCTGTGGGTAGCTGTTTTTAGTGGATATCGCGTAATAAAAATTGATCCAAGGCAACCAGAAACCCTCTTGGCCACAATTCCTATTCCAGCAAAACAGGTAAGGCAATCAATAAAAATATGTAAACAAAATGTTTAAAAGTCCTTTCGTAGTCTATAAACAAAATGCTATAGAACAGATATATCAAGAACATACTAACACACTGAGCAAAACAAATGAAATATTTTGCATATATCTTAAAAAAAAGAATTTAACAATTTGCTACCCGACAAAAATTTTAGCAGGTCACATACAAGATACAGGAGTTTCATATAGTTAAGCGTCACCATCGGAATAGCCGGAAAAACATAATAAAAGACCATATTTTATTACAACCATCATCATCACATTCATTAACATCTTGACTCTGACAGTTTGATTAATAATTTTTCTCCATTGGTAGCGGTCAACTGTTATATGTTCCGCTTCAGCATACTTCTTTCTTTCAGCATTCTTGAAAAACTTTTTTGTAATGTCCGCCCATCGTTGTGGACATCTACCGCGAACCCTGAGGCCTTCCTTGGACCAACAACCGCTCCAGTTTGTGATAGCTTCGATTCTCCTTCTTCAAGCGCCATCCGCGACGGAGGTTGGCAATCATCATAGCTATTCGGAATTTTGAGACGGCTGCTCTGAAAAGTTCATTTGATGTACATGCATACCACTCTCTCAGGTTGCGCAGCTATTACATTCTATGCCTCCCTATACTTCTCTTTCCTTTGATCTTTCCCTGCATAATTAGTTGGAGCAAGGTGTATTTCTCTCCACGTGTAATATGTCCGGGATATTTCAATTTTCTTGTTTTAATTGTATTTAAAATTTCTATTTCTTTATTCATCCTTCTGAGAACCTCTTTGTTTATGCGTGTTCTTTTTCAGAATTCTTCTATACACCCACAGCGTATATGATTGCAGTTTTTTTCATTGATGTCGCATTTAAGGTCCAAGATTCCATTCCATAAAACAAAGTACGTAAAAACCATAGCATCTCGCCAACCTAACTCTTAGTTCCAATTTTAAATCCCCTGTACATAGCACTGTTCTGATTTTGTTGAAATTTGCTCTAGCCTTTTCTATGCTGATTTTGATCTCCTAAGTGTAATCATTTGTAGGGTTAATAAATGATCCCAGATATGCATATTTGTCCACTTGCTCGACTTTATTCCAGCTGTTTCACCCTCAAGTGCTTTTCAAGTGATTTTCTTACATAGCTTCTTTTGTACATAGCACTCTTCTGATTTTGTTGAAATTTGCTCTAGCCTTTTCTATGCTGATTTTGATCTCCTAAGTGTAATCATTTGTAGGGTTAATAAATGATCCCAGATATGCATATTTGTCCACTTGCTCGACTTTATTCCAGCTGTTTCACCCTCAAGTGCTTTTCTCAGGATCTCTTTAGAGTAGGCATTAAGAAGAATTAGCGACAATACGCATCCCTGTCTCACTCCATGTCTAATTTCAATTTCTTCTGACAGCTGTTCGTTTTGCTCGCTGTTTATAATATAAATTTGATATGATCTTGAGTTCGTTGTAGTAAATCTTCTTTGATTTCAGAACATTTATTAATTGTTCATGTCGTACTTTATCGAATGCTTTATTATGGTCAATAAAACATGCTTCGCATAAATATCGCTTCGATAGATATGACCAAAAAACTTTAAAATTCCAGAATAAACTGTACTAGAAATACGTTGATTGGGTTTAATTCCATCCTTTACAACAGGAACCAGAAAAGAATCGACAAAAAGTGTAACACACATCTATTAATTAAATGTAGCAAAATTTATTTCTAAAATGGTTAAAATGGTTTTTGTATTTAGATTTCATCTGTAGCATTTGGTGGACCTAACCTTGATGAGCTGTATGTAACATCAGGAACATTTACTACTGATGGAGAAGTACTTTATCCACCAGAACATGGAGGAACTTACAGAGTTACAGGATTGAACACCAGAGGCTATCCAGGAGTATCTGCTGTATTATAAAGATCTTTAATTTAATTCTTAGAAAATATATCTTAATGGGGTGTTTCTTTATATGAAAACGTGTCGACTAATTTTACAAGACAATCTAAATTATAAAAAATATATATATAGTTTCTACATGACATTTGTAGTTTTAATACCTTTAGATAAACTTACTAGGCCTTTCGAACAAGCCACATACTAAGTATATGTAATAAGCCCCATACTAGGGCAAACCCCCTAGAATTTAGAAGGTTTTTTTAAGTTTATCGTTTGCTTGTATTGTTTCCTCTCCAGATATCCCAGTCTACCATAACGTTCATAACAATCGTTTCATCAATTACTCATTTCACCCTCAACGCAATCCGCCTTTCTACGAACGAATTAACCGATTACTTCATAAATATAGTATAACATTCCCGACAATATACCACCCTACCGAAAACCTTCCTCCTCCATGGACTGTAAATAAACCACCAGTGAGCACTGATCTATCAAAATTTAATAAACATGAATCCCCACCAGCCATATTATTAAATCACCCCAAGGACATTATGTATAGATTTAGCGGCTTCCAACAGATCTACAAAGATGCATCAACAACGGACGGAGTGGGGACAGCAATTTTTCTAATACTCATAATGCTAAATTTAATTTGCAGAAGAACTGTACTATCTCCAATGCAGAACTGTACGCAATTCTTCACAAATTACAGAAATTACACAATCATAACTGACTCGATGAATGCCCTTTTATATATCCTTTATATATCCAAAACATATACTCCAGCGTCTCCAGCAGACCTATTCATAAAGACATTTAGAAAGAACTTCAAAATGCTGCAAAGAAAAACAAACACGTGGTAATAATCTGGGTTCCATCTCATATTGGAGTACACGATAAAGAGGTGGAGGACTGTTTTGGTCACGAAACAGCGACAAGTGATATTAAGTTGTAGATAGTTGTGCTTGAGAAAACAAATGGTCGCAGTGTTCCGAAAAATTAAGTCAAATTAAAGACAATCTTTACATAAAACAAGATTTTCGTTACATAGGAAAAAACAAGTCGCCTTTACTAGAGTCCGACTTGGTCACACCGACCATACTCATATTTACTGAATCACAAGAGACAACCCCCCTAGTACAACCAGTAAATCAACAGTACAGTAAAACATAGTTTAACCGAATGTCAAATTTTCCAGGAAACAAGAAGTAAACTCAACCTTCCCAGCAACACAGCCGAGCTTCTTAGAGACAATATTCATCTAAACAGCAGCATAGTTTAGACTAAGACGGCAAGACTGGTTCGATCAAGAATGTAGGAATGTTTTGGCAAGAAGAAACAGGGCAAAACTACAAAGAGATAAAGAAAATACCCAAAATGCAATCGAAAGCTATGTGGTTAGGAGAAGGGAATTGAAAATAATTTGGAGAAAAAAGAAAAGCGAACAGCTAAAAAAGCAATTGAAAAACATACAGAGATAAAAAATTTCTACCAAGAAGTTAAGAAATCCAGAGAAACTACAAAGAATAATATTCATAGTATTGCAAAAACTAAGGCTTACTTCTAGGTGAAACAACAGAAAAATTAAACAGATGGGCGGAATATTTTTAAGATCTATTAAACACAGACCAACAAGAGGAACTTGAGGGAAATGAGAATTGGCAAGAAGATAAATAAAGGACGTGCGAGGAACCAACTCTGAATGAACTCAAAGAAATAATAAAAAAAAAAACAAAAGTCCAGGAGAAAGTGGTCTCCCAGCTGAGATTTTTAAGGAAGGTGGCGAAATATTGAAGGAAATGTTGATGTTCAGCAAGGAACATTGTATAGCGTACGCGGATGATGTGGTGATATACTAGCGAGAATAAAAAACATTTAGAAAAAGTTTTCCAGAAGAACAACAGAGAAGATACGGATTAACAATAAACGAAACAAAAACGCAATATATGGAAATGAGAGGAGACATAACAAATATTTAATAACAAATATATCAAAATGAAAGGAGTAGAGACTGTCTATAGTTTTGAAAATTTTCAGATTTTGAATACTTATGAGTAACCATAACAAACACGGGGAAAGAAGAAAGAGATAGACAAAAGATTAATGAAGGGAAGCAGAGCGATAGGGTCACTAAATTGATTACTGAAAGCAAAAAATATAGGACATATAAAGAACAGCTAAACTGTGAGACAGTAATCAGACCCACAGTGATGTATGCCAGTGAAACGTGGATTATGAACCAGCAGTAAGAAAAAAAATTAGAGATATGGGAAAGAAAGATTATCAGAAAAATCTTCGGGAGGAATAGACTGAAGAGAATATTTGAAGAAGACGAACGAATGAAGAAATAATGAGTATTTATGGAAAACCAGCAATTAAGGCAAAAATACGAGTCCAAAGAACTAGATGGCTTGAGTATGCGACAGAATCAAAATGTTAAAACAATACTGAAGGAGAGAAAAATGGGAAAACAAAGAAGAGGACGTCAAAAGAAGAAATGGTTGGAAGCAGTAAAGCATGAATTTGGAGACAGAAATCAAGGGACCGAAAAAAAAAAATGGAGGGAAATAACCAAGTTTTTATAAGTCAGGGGCCTACAAGGCCTGTAGCGCTTTTATATATAACAAATTATATCAACCCTCTGTGTGTGTGTAGTTAATATTGTGTGTGTAGTTAATATTGTAACCTTTCTTTGTTGTCTACAACCCATCGAGCAAAAAGCCAGAAGAGGGAATGGAAAGGTAGTGGGGGCAAAAATATTGTTAAACGAAAAGTGCCATTTTTAAATCAAATTTAGTTGGGTTATGTTATTGTTTGTCCCAACTGTCACATGAAATCCTATTTATATTTAAGTTTTTTAACTCATAGCTGAAAGACCTGAGAATATGGTTCGACCGCTCATTCGCAGAAATCTTTCGCGCAGCAGTTCCCAAAACCACAATTGTCATTTGGATCACCAACCTTCGAAAGGAGACGGCGCCATGAGAAGAACAATTGTGTCACATTTTAGACTATTATCAATAATGTTTAATTAAAACTTGACTCATTCTGAAAAATATTTTGTAGCTACTTTCAAGTGTCGGAAAATTTAAATTTGGTGCCTTTGCATTTCCGGATATGTCCGCCATATTAAGAGACCACTTTTACGAATTTTTGTCTCCTTTTCATAATGATTAGATTCCCTACAACCCCAGTGGTGTGGACATTAAAAAAATTATAAGAATTGAACCTCACTTTTTTTCTAAAAATAATAATGTAGGCATGCTTACCGCAGATCTTTAGCTTATTTAAACGGATAATTAAATGGATATTGGGAACAGGAAGATTTTACACTTATCCACAGTACAGTAGGTATATTGACGTTTGTAAAATAAAACGAAAACATATAATATAACTTTTAATATTTTGAATAATAATATTAATAAAATGATATTTATATAAATGTTATTAACTATAAAAAATCACACATATACCATTTCTTTGGAAATAATTATAAAAGAGCAATAGATAGAAACAGCTAGCTTACAAAAAGGCATCATATGCAAATTAATGGAAAAAGTACTGTAAATTAATTAACCATATACTTACGTATAAGTGTAAAAAGAAATGATTAGAATCTTCTTTTCTATACAGGAAGTCAAAAAATTTAAACATACAAAACATTTTTTATAATTTTACGATTCTAACATTTCTTTTCCACTTAATGGCTTTTAAAATATAGGTTTACAAATTAAGATAAACGGTTATTTTAAGTATTTTTATATATAAAACAGTCTTCAATTGCACCAAATATCGAACTACAATTTTTATGTTTGATGTTTCTGGTTTAGACCATTTGGTAGGATTCAGATTTATGTTTTAGATATATTTCGTCACAAATAACTTATGTAGTGTAATATTCAATTGGGATCCAATAACGCATGACCAATAAGTGTATTAGAAGTTCAATTTTTTAAAAACTTATTCCGCAATTAACACAGGTATTTACGTTTTATTTTTCTATAATTTTACATAATTACATGTAATCTAAGAAAAATTGGTCTTAGTTAATGAGCAATTAGAACAGGTACGTTCTTATAACTATCTGAAAATAGGTATCAATGAAAATTGTAAAGATATCCAAGAAATAATGGCGAGAATAAAACAAGCCAGAGTTCTTTTCAACATCATGGAAAAGTGGTTTTGTATATAATAGAGGTTGTCATATCCAAGAGGAAATATACCTGATATTGGTGGAGGGTTTTTTGGTTTCAGGCTCAGTGTAAGAAGAATGAAAGCTAGATTAACTACAAGACGACCTTCAGATTTCCATCTATTTCTTAGTTTTTCGCGGGAACAGTACACTGAACAAGCAAACTGAGCAGCCGCAGTCATCCGCAAATTTTAAAACTGAATACTTCCGAAAATAAAGAGGAACTACCGAATAGTAATCAGTACAACCCGATGAGGTTCGGTAGAACCGAAAAAGATCCAGCGAATGAGCATGAGCAGTCCAACGAGAAAAATAATTTAATGGCGGTTGAAGTAAAGCATCGATCTAAAAAATGCTCGACAGAAGGTGCTAACACATATCCGAAAGCTGCAAATATAGATGTATTGTACTAACAAACTGAACCTATATCCAAAAAACTGAAGACTTTAGAAACGTAGGTACGTAACCGAATATTAAACATATCATGGACCGAAGAAACACTTCTTCTTCTTCAAGTTCCGCTCCTATTGGAGATTGGAAATAATTCTGAGAATTATAATTTTGTTGGTTACGCGCCTGAATAGTTCTATTGAACTGCATCCAAACCATTCACGGAGATTGCGTAGCCACGAGATTTTACGTCTTCCTAGGCTTCTTCTGCCTTTGATTTTACCCTGTATTATATTCTTTAGTAGTTCGTATTTTTCACCTCTCATGATATGCCCCAAGTATTTCAATTTCCTGATTTTTATGGAATTTAAAACTTCGCATTGTTTTCCTACTTGTTCGTTTGTTTTTCAATTCATCCATGATTTTTTCAACAAAA